TTTTTTTTTTTTTTAAGTATCCTGGATATTTTGTCTATGTTAGGAACTCTGGATCTTGTTTAAATATTCTATTTGGGGAATATTCACACTGTTTAAATTCAGCAAGTAGGCCTTGCCCTGTTTTTATAGGCTATGGTTTCGATGGCAATTTAATTTTTGTAGCAGTTTTGGTATTGTTTTGGTGCTTATTTTTCTAGTGGTCCCTGGAACTTCTCCTGGTCCCTGCAGGGATCTCAGGCCAGAATACTAGGGGAGTTTTAGAGCCTCCTGGGTACCCCTTGTTTCTAGGCAGAAGAGACTTTGAACTCACAGGGACCCAGAGGTTTCGTAGAAGGGGCCATTTGCTGTACCCCAGGCCCTTGTGCATGATTGCTACTTGTTCCTGATGTCTCTATACATGGGAAGAGAATCCTGGGCCCATGGGCAAACAGGCTTCCTGTATCAAACCCCTTCCCTTTTGCTGATCCTGCCTGTCTACCGCAAGAAACCTGAGTTTCAGTAGAATTGCTGTTTGCCACTTGCCCTGAGCATTTTAACGGCCTTTGTCACTTTTAATATTTTCCTTAATTGGGATTCTTGGTACTGACAGGCAACTATGTGCTGAATTTTTATTTTACTTCCCTTTTTAATGTGCAAGAATACTGAAATGTGTGACTAGACAGATTTTGTGGTGGTGTTTAATACTGGAACCCACTTCCAGATAAATATGTTTTTATTCAGTATTTGCAAGGTTGGGACTTGTGCAGTTTTTATGCTTGAGGATCTTGGGAGCTACATTTCATTTGCATTTGACATACTTGTATCTGATTATTTTTGTCTAGTGACTTTGGTCAAGCTGACCTGCCACTGTGGTCACCACGGATGCTCAGCTCTCTTGTGTGGATCATTGATCTCTTTTGATCACACACATAACTCCCAAGAAAATTTATCTCTTTTAACTCCTGGTTACAAAGCAGCTGAATCAGGGCTCTCCTGTTTGTTGTCTAGAAAAATAATGACTATTACATAGCACACTTGTGTGGAGACCACTGGTATCACTCTTCTGTACAAAAGGTAGACAATTGGCAGGCCACTAGCTGATCTTCACACCAGTGATCTACTTTCTTGTAGGAAAGGGTAAGTGAATCTCTAAAAAAAGCAAGAGCTTTCTCCAGCTGGTGGCAGAAAGGAAAGCCAAGGAGGTTTGAGCTATAAGAGGAATTCAGTGCACTGTCACTAGCCTGAAGATGGTAGGGCCATGTTGGAAAATGGTACAAGAGAGGCCCCTGGCCTAGAGCCATCGAGGAGATAGAGACCTCAGTCCTACAATTGTGAGGACGCACATACTGCTGACAACCTCAATGAGCTTGAAAGTAGATTTCTTCCCAAAGTGAGCACAGGTTGAATTCGGATAATGGAGCCAGCCCTTATTGCAGCACTTGGTTTGTGGCAGGATCCCCATCCTCCGAGGCTGGGAAACTACATTACATTCTTGATTCACAGATCCAGTGAAATAGTTGTATCTAAAGAAGTCTCTCCTTCCATCCCAAATTCCTTTAATTTCTCTCCTTCTGGTATCAACAGAATCAACCAAAACCAGCCTCCTCAGAAACCAGATGTCCACCCTAAAGAACTCACCCTGTAGACATAGAAAGGACAGCCTCTCCACCTGCAGCACCTGGAGTACTGCTCTAAGTGACAAAGGCAAGTCTGAGGGGTCCCTTTCTCAGGTTGCTGTTGGCTTTCTTTTACCCAGTGCCCCTATTCTCGAAAGATCTGGGTAGCAGTGTTTTTGAGAAACAAATCATATTTTAAATGCTCTCAGATTACTTCTTGTACAAAGGGTCCTTGTAAACCAGGCCCACCACTGTAGTGCGTGGGTTTGGGGACTAGACTTGTGCCGCTTGTACTTGGGCACTTAACACATGCAGTTCATATACGTCCTATGCCAGCGCTCCCACCTGCTGCCACTCCCAGCTTTCACTTGGAAATTCTCGTACTTCAAAGTAGATTTGTTTTCTTCTCTGCATTCAGTGAGCCACTCTTTGGTCCAAATTTCATACTTTGAGGGCTAAACATGAGGGAAATACAACTTGTGTATTCAATATTTATTACTATTGATAAATGTATTATTCTTAAAATAATGAAGTTTACAATTTGAAGTTCTATACTATTTCCCTGTATTTCAAATAGTTGCTAAATGATAAATCCCAAACACACACACATGCACACAATCCCCCACGTATTAGGAAGCACCGAGTGACAAAAGTACACTGTCATTGCTCATCACAGCTAATCAAGCACCCTTTCCAGTGGTGCTCCTGTGTGGGTCTGCTCCTCACTTCCCATTAGCCTGCTGTTATATGCACATCCTTAAGAGTTTATCATAAAAATAGAGTTAAAGTGTTTGTAAATGGGGAGGGGAGGAGGGGGTGAAGGGAGGGTAGGGACAAGGGGAAAAAATGAGAACCAAGACTTGTCATGTAAAGATACAAGATCCCAGTAATGAATGTAACTGTACTGTATACCTAGAATGTACCAATAAGCTCAATTAAAAAAAAAAAACAGTTTATCGTATGGTGAATAGGATGGGATTTCTTAGGAAATTAATAAGATATGATTTCTTAACCAGCTCATACCCAAGCACCCTTCCCTCTAAATGCTGCTTGTTCAGCAAGTAATAATATTCCTTTTCACTTTTAAATCCAATGTTATATAAGGATATACATTAAAAATCCCAAATATTGATTTCAAATTCCAAGCTTACAACTAAACAGTTTTCCACACAGAGCTGAGGAACTGTAAAACAAACTGACAGCATCTAAGGTGTTGGTCAAGTCTCTCCTCTATAATTTCAGGGAGTCTAATGAGATCAATACCAAACAATCGTTTGCTAATGGTGTTTTATGAAACATTTAAAATATGTTTTCTGGAGACAGAATGAATGTATCTGATTCTTGCAGGGACAGAAATCTCAGTGGACCTGGGGTGAGGAGGATGAGCAAAACAATGACTGACTGTGCCATATTCACCCGTACCTTGGTCTGTAGTGCAAACCCCAAGAGCATCCTGCCCAAGAGTCCAGTCTAATGGATCCAGACGTGATCTTTGAAAAGTGGTCCACTTAGAAGGCTTCAGTCACAGCTGGACAGTGTAGTCCTTTTGAGATTTGATACAAAGGGGGTCAAAATAAAGGGATAAAGAGGAAAGTACACAGCTGCCACTTCTCCCTCCACAGAACTGAGCGCCCTGCTGACCAGCAAGTATCTGGATGACAATTTGTCAGGAAGACCAACTAGCGAAGGGAGCCCAGCTTATGACGGCAAGTGAGTACTCTAATTCTCAAGGACAACTTTGATATGATTTATTTGTTATCAACCAAGTGGTAAGTTTCCTAACCCATGGTTGTGTGCTCCTAGCTCTTTGGAGATGTCCTCGGCAAACTGGCTGCTGACCCATGGCCTGGTGGCGAAGAGACTCACCCTGATGGACGCCTTGTCAGTGACGGCAGTGCCCCACAGCCCCACCTACGTCCCCATCCTGGATAAGCTTGTTCTTTCCAAGGTCTTTGATGAGGTAATCAAATTGTCCCTATGTCCTTGCTGGAGGGATTTATCTTATTTTCTCCTCAAATAAGAAGCAATCTGTTTCAATCTCATGTGCAGTTGAAACAGAAATGCATTTCAGTCATTGGAGAAAATTATTTGTGAAGTCAGAAACAGGGAAAGAGAGGCCCTTAGAATTCTGGTTAAGCCAAGGAAACTGGCCTTTGTTGGCAGTTTGTGGCTCACTGCTGTAGGGCGAAAGTGTGGCATGGCAGAAATGTCTGAAAAGTGGGTCAGGCCTGGGGGAGAACATTATGCAAATCAGTGGACAAGGAAGCCAGGTGTGGCAGTTTGTCCTTCACCCTTTCTGAAGGGCCACATGTGGAGGGGTCACCAGATGTGGAAGAAGGCCGAGCGAGTACAGCTGGCCCTTGGTACCTACCTGCAGATCTTTATCCACAGATTCAACCAATCTCAGATTGAGAATATACAGAGAAAAACTGGCATCTGGATAGAGTGTCACAAGTGTCTGCACAGCATTTACGTTAAATTAGGTGCTTTGAGTAATGAGCAGATGATTTAAAATATACAGGAGGTTATGAGCAGAGACTGAAACACTTTATAGAAGGGACTTGAGCATCTGTGGATTTTGATACCTGCAAGAAGTGGGTTGTAGTAGAAAGTTACCAAGGAATCTGGCAACAAGGTGATCCTGCTCTTAGTAAAAACAGTTCATTAGAGCATCCAGGTTGCAGTGGGTTGAGGAACACACAAGAAATGTGACCAGGAAGACCTGTAACCTTCCTGGCAAATAGAACAGCAGCTAATGATTTCAATCATAGCATAGCCAGCTGTATCGTCACCAGGTGGAGACAATTATCTTTGAAAGGCCTTTTGCATACTGCAGTATTTACAGAGAAATTGGTAAAATGTCTGGGATTTGCATCAACACGATCTTGATGTTTGGGTGAGGGGAGCAGATGAAACAGATTGGCCATAGTTGATAAGTATTAAATCTGGCTAATAAAAATATCAGGGAAGGACTCTCTTTTCTGCTTTAAACATATTTGAAAATTTCTGGAATTAAAAAAATTGAAAAAAATCAAGCAGAAAAACCTTTCAAAAAAGAAAAGATCTTATCTAAGGACCTTGAAATAGCTGAGATTTGACAAAGCAGATGAGCTGGTGAAATTTTTTCATTAGTCACATTTAAATAATTACAACTATAAAGATTGGCATGGGTCCCATTGATGTCATGGGTTCTTATTCTGTGACCCATGTGTCATTATTTAGTCTGTTTCCTGTGAACCTCGCCTCAGGGTTTCAGGGGCAAAAGGGAAGCTGGACACTGATTTATTTCTTCTAGGAAGTTTGGTGACTGTTTCTTCGCATTCTGTGCATTTGTTATATTAATATTCTTGAGTTTTATTTGGAAGAAAATATATTTAGTGAACTCTGCCTAGAAATAAAATGTTCATGGGCTTATGATTTCTCCATCTAAACCATTCAAGATCTTGAGATACATTGAAAAATACATTTTTCAAAAAATAAATATGATTGGGTAAGGATATATAACAATGTAATCAAAGGAGGAAAGTATTTAAAGACTGAATACATTTTTTAAATGTTGAAAAACATCCGTAACATATATGATGATATAAAGGTTCATAAGAATAGTATCTTACATATGTGTGTATCAGTATAAGTGGGTATAATCAGTGTCCAGAGTAGGCACACCTGCAGACTCACCCATACCACAAAAAAATAAGAAAATGATAAATAACTCAGTGGACAATCTAGGGAGAAGAATGAGGTCAAAACTAAAAATCAACAAAAAAAAATTTCACTGGTAACCAAATATATGACATATAAAAAATGCAATTGAAAATCAGGCATCCCCCTTTCCCATTAAATTAGCAAGGTTAAGAATACTAATGAACAATAATATAATAAAATGGGAAACTTTATATCCTTATAATTGGAATTTAAATAGGTGCAATGCTGTTGTTTAGAGGCCTTAAGAGTTTATAACATTTAACCCAGTAAATCCATTACTAGGAATCTGGGTAAGGAAATATTGTCATCAGAATGCTGACAAGTATATGCAGAGAACAATTATTGTTCCTTTATATTTTTTCAGGTTTAACTGAGTTTATTGGTACCTTTTAGGGATACAGTACAGTTACATTCATTGTTGGGATCTTGTACCTCTACATGACAGATCTTGGTTCTCATTTTTTCAACTTGTCCCTGCCCTCCCTTCGCCCCCTCCTCCCCTCCCCATCTACAAACACTTTATTTCCATCTTTTCATTATCTCACATTTTTTTCTTTTCCCTTTTTGTCCTTCCCCTACCCATCCCACCTTCCCTACACCTTTAGCCCCTTTCTTCCCATTTCACCATGTCAGTAATCTTATTAGGATCTTATGTATTATTGCAATTTATTCACACCAGAGAAACTATTCAGTATTTACACGTGTGTGACTTATTTATTTCACTTAGGAGTATATCTTCAATATGTATCCATTTTCCTATGAATGAATCTTTTTTCTCGTTCTTTATGGCTGAGTAATATTCCATTTTATAGAAAAACCACAACTTCTTTATCCAGTTTCCAACGGATGGGCAAATGGGCTGTTTCCAAGTTTTAGCTATTACAAACTGTGCTGCTATAAACATGGGTACACATATATCACTGTGATATGATTCTTTGAATTCTTTTGGAAAGATACCCAGCAGAAGGATGGCTGGGTCAAATGGAACCTCTAGTCCCAGCTCTTTGAGGTATCTCCATATTGATTTCCGCAGTGGTTGCACCAGTCTGCACTCCCACCAACAATGGAGAAGGGTTCCTTTCTCCCCACAACCCCGCCAACATTTGTTATTGTGTGATTTCTTGATAGCAGCCATTCTTTGTGTGGTGAGGTGGAATCTCAGTGTTGTTTTCATCTGCATATCTCTCAAATGACCAGTGAAGTGAAGCATTTTTTCATATATTTACTTGCTGCTTTTACTTCTTTGTCTGAGAAATGTCTGTTCATTTCAGATGCCCATTTTTTAATCGGGTCTTTATATTTGGGGAGCTGATTGTTTTGAGTTCTTTATATATTCTTGATAATAGTCCTTTGTCTGAGGAGCAGCTGGTAAAAATTTTTTCCCACATTGTAGGTTGTCTCTTAGTTCTGTTGATGGCTTCTTTTGCAGTGCAGAAGCTTTTTAATAAGATGAGATCCCAGTTGTTGATTCTTTCTGCTAGTTCCCGTGCTACTGAGGATTTGTTCATAAAGTCTTTTCCTATGCCAATGTCTTCCAGAGTTCTGCCTAACTTACCTTCCAGCAAGTTTAGTGTTTCTGTTTTAATATTTAGAACTTTAATCCACTTGGATTTTAATTTAGTGCATGGTGAAAAATAAGGGTCTAGTTTTAATCTTTGGCAGGTTGAGATCCAGTTTTTCCAACACCATTTATTAAAGAGGCTTTCTTCCACTGAATCAACCTAAATACCTGGTAGGTACTTTCATATAGTAGAATGTCATGTATTTGTTATATATAGCATTTCTGAAGGAAAGTAATAATATGGGGGAAAGTCCTTGGTATCATTCTGAATAAAAAATCAGAATTCCATATACAACATGTTAGTAATTTGATTGTATATGATATAGACATATATCATGCTTTCCCCACCCCTACATGGAGAGTAAACCCAAAGCCTTTGTACTGAGCTACATACTCACCCCTATTTTATTTTTTATTTTGAGACAAGGTCATGCTAAGTCACTAAGTTGCCCAGGATAAGCTCAAACTTGCCATCCTCTTGCCTCAGCCTCCCAAAATGTTACGTTTATCTGGGTAGTGAGATTGCTAGTAATATTTGTCTATTTACATATTTTTAAATTGTTATGGTAGTACTTTTAACTTTTTTACATATATGAATTATATGCTGACAAAAAGCATGTAGGAAAGCAGAACTAAAAACAAATGATAAAATGGTGAAAATATAAAAGGAACTTAACTTTTTTTTTCAGCTTTAATTGAGTTTATTGGTACATTTTAGAGATACAGTACAGTTACATTCATTGTTGGGATCTTGTACCTCTACATGACAAGTCTTGAGTCTCATTTTTTCCCCTTACCTCTGCCCTCCCTTCACCCCCTCAGGAACTTAATTTTTAATTGTTCTATTTTTACCTGCTGATTACATTCTTTGTGTGAGGTAACTGACATCTTCAGAGGAAGATGTAGACACTTCTTGCATGAGTATTTTAATCCAGGAAGGAAACATTCGGAATAATTTGGTGAATTTACTTTTAATCCTTTTTCTACACACATACATACATGTATATGTATAAACATGACACACATATATTTTAATGAACATAAAATGAGGTGATTATATCATGTGCATTTGCCATTTCATCTTTTAGAAACTACATCTTAGAGACCTTTCTACAAGAGTATATGGGTATCTCTCACATTAGTAGCAAGGTTCTTTCTTATTACCAATTGATGCATTGTGTCCTTCCTTCCATTACAAATAATCCAACACCAGATTTCCTTGGAGATTAATTTGGGCCTTTTGGCTTCCCTGTGGGGGAGAGTCAGGGAGTGTGAGTGGGTAGACGGGGGTCAACAAGCCAAGGTCCCAACAGGGAGGCCACTGGCAGCACCAGGAAGGGCCCTAGGCAGGTAGGAAGTGAAGTCCACAGCACCAGACAGTGCAGGCTTGAAACATCAAGCTCAAGATGCCAGCCTAGATTACTGAGGGAGAGCAGAGAGGGCTCTGCTCTTCAGAACACTCTCCTCTCTGCCTCTAGAAAGCAAAGCCCAGGGAAGGGGTCAAAGCCCAGAGAAGAGGTACACGTCTGGCAGTGCACTCCATGAGGACTGCGCTTGGTTCTGTAAGCAGCACTGTAAACCCTTCTTGCCAATCTGTGGGCAAGTGGTGCCCTGTCCTGCACACCCACCCCCGCTTCATCAGTGGGAAGAACTGGAATCCTGACAGTGAAAGAAATGCACTGTGCTACACCCAC